ACTGCCTCGTGTTCCACATAAGAATACCACAATTCACTTCTTTGTTTTATGGTTCGCAGACATTTGGGTTGTTTCCAGCTAGGGGACAGTATCAGGAATAGTTCCTGCTGTGCAATTCTGCTACATGTCTTTTGTTGAGCATGCTTGCCTGTCTATAGGGTATATTCTTAAGGGCAGCATTGCTGGATACTTACAGGGCAGTTTACGGTCAGCTTTGAGGGATGGTGCCAAATGGTTTTCTTAAGTGGTTGTACCATTTATACTCTAACAAGCAGGGAATGTCATTTCTCTTTTCTTTTCCTCCCAGCCTCCTTCCATTTTCCTTTCTTTTACTTATTTATCCAACCCCCATTACCCGCAGTCTCTATACTGAGCTTTGTGTGTCTACTGGTGAATTAAAAGGTCACTAGTGGCGTCCCCTGGGAGTCCTCTTCCTACTCCCTCAGTTCAGTAGGCAGATGGATGGGGAGCCCCCCACGCCATCTGGGTCCTGAAAACATGGGAGATGGGATCTGGGAGGAGCAGGGCATCCAATCTCTACCCCTGGAAAGCGACGTGGCGAGGGTCTTACTGCGGAGGGGCTTCTTTCCCCAGACTGAGAGAAGCGCAGTTAAGCCCTTTCCCGGGAGCCTTGGCCGACCCTGCTGCTGGGGGCGCCGATACTGGTTATTTGCAGCGCCCTCTCTTGTGAAACCCTGCGGATTCCGCTTGTGGGGAGGTGGAGGGCGGCGGCCTCCGCCTTTTGGGGCCTCTGGGCTGAGGGAAGATGATGGAGGGGCAGAAAAGGAGTGAGGTCCCGAACCCCAAGTGGAGGTCGCCCGGGGACCCCCCACCAACACTTGCTGGGGAGAGGTTATAGAGGCAGCAAAGCTCTTCCTTTGCAGCATGATTTCAAATCCCGTCTAAGGGCTTTCAGAAGCCTGGAGAAAGTTTCGGTTGCCCAGCTGTTTCAGCTCTTTCCGCCTGCACCGCGGTGATGCGTTCGGAGCCGCCGAGGCGATAGCGCCATCTGCTGCCTACTTTTTAAATTGCAGGATCAGATCCTCTCGGTCTCTCCAGACGTGCCCCGTGGAAAGGGAAAAAGATTAAACCATTAAAAATAGTTTAGATCGCCTGAAGTCAGGAGTGCGAGACCAGCTTGTCCAACATGGTGAAACCCCCGTCTCTACTAAAAATACAAAAATTAGCCGGGCGTGGTGGCGGGCGCCTGTAATCCCAGCTACTTGGGAAGCTGAGGCAGGAGAATCACTTGAACGATGGGGCAGAAGTTGCAGTGAGCCAAGATCCTGTCACTGCACTCCAGCCTGGCCACAGCGCAAGACTCCATCTCAAAAAAAAAAAAAAAGGTTTAAAATGTTCACAGCCACTGTTATGCAAAGTTCAAGGGCCTCTCTCACACTTAGCTGGTGGAGGAGTGAATACAGCCTTTCTGAAGAGAGAAAAATTAAGTAATAGCAAAATCATTAAGTGTTTATGATTCATAAATACGTACACTTTTTGTCAACTAAAAAAATAAAATATGTAAAAGTCAAAAAAGTGTCTATGATTCAGAAATGACACCGTTAGAAGTTGCCATAAGAGTGCACACAAAAAGGACATATGGGTCTAAGTGTTTGCAGTGTTTGCAGCAGTGTTGCCCCAAATAAGGAAATCTTGCAACATTGTGGGGGTTTAAAATAACTATAGAATGGCCGGGCGCGGTGGCTCAAGCCTGTAATCCCAGCACTTTGGGAGGCCGAGACGGGCGGATCACAAGGTCAGGAGATCGAGACCATCCTGGCTAACACGGTGAAACCCCGTCTCTACTAAAAAATACAAAAACCTAGCCGGGCGAGGTGGCGAGCGTCTGTAGTCCCAGCTACTCCGGAGGCTGAGGCAGGAGAATGGCGTGAACCCGGGAGGCGGAGCTTGCAGTGAGCTGAGATCCGGCCACTGCACTCCAGTCTGGGCGACAAAGCGAGACTCTATCTCAAAAAAAAAAAAAAAACAAAAAAAAAACAACTATAGAATATGCATTAGAATACAATGAAACCATTAAACATAATGTGGAAGAATATTATATATTATAGGGAAATGCTCATAATATATAGTGACAATTTAAAAAGCAGATTACAAAACAATATGCCAAAACATGATTTCTGCCCACGTCTGCCCTGATGGGTGAGCTAACTAAGGTTGCTGCACTGTGAGGGTGTAGAGACTGCCCCTCGGCCCCCACCCCTTTCCTCAGGAAAGGACATGTGAGTGTTTACTGCACATCCTACAGATGAGGAGCTCACAAGGACCCTGGATGGGGGAGTCCTCTGAGGTTGCTGGAGCTGCTGCAGCCATCTTGTCACTGCCAGGAGAGAGCTCTGGAGAGCAAAGGCACAGCAGAGGAAAGCAGAACTAAGAAGAGACAGAGAAAGCAAAAGTGGGAAACGGAGAGAGACATGAGATGACAAAGTGTGGGTCCTTGGATCCTGCTTGGTGTAAAGTTAGCCTGCTCCTGGACTTTACAGATAATAAATTCCTTCCTCCTCAGATTAACCTGGGTTTTTGTGGCTTGTAACCAAAAGGGCCTGCACGGCCCACACACAAGCTCCCAGCTCATTTCCTTTGTCATTAGCAGTAACTGGAGGCAGGTGGTGCATGGATCTGCCTTGCAAGACTTCTCTGTTAGTGCCTGGAGCCCACTCTCTCAGCTGGCACAGCCAGGGTGACACATCAGGCCGGGTGTGTCCTGGACTTGTCCTGTTTCTAGGTGCAAACCAGAACTGAGGATGCCGAGGGTAGTGGTGGGGGGGGGGGGTGGTTTCCTGCCTCAGGGCTGTGCTCCTGCTATCCCTCTGCCTAAAATTCTCCCCTCCCTGTGCTCCCAGGGCCAGCTCCTTTGTATGCTCTGTAATTCTTTGAACAGCGCCTCCTCTGAGAAGCCTTCCCTGACCACCTGGCTGAGGACACCATTCTGTGTCAGCTTCCATTTGCTCTGGGAGAGGCCTCCTGACACTTCACTTCCATGAGGCAGGGACCAGTTCTGTCCTGGTCACTGCTGTATCCCCAGCTCTAGATAAGGCCTGGGACATAGGAATGCCACGGATGGTTGGTTATTGAGAAAACGAGCAGTTAGATCACGGCTCCCAACACCAACACAATGGCGATGTGTAGGGAGTCAACTTAGCCCTACCAGCAGGTGGAACTGGTTTTGCTGCTCCAAAACAGTTCCAGCTATGGGGACAGCCACTACAGAGCAGAGCTAAGGCCATGCTAGGCTGAGGGGCCACAGTCCACCCTGAACTGTCCCTCCCAGCCTGGAGCTAGTGAGGGGGCCGAACCTGGGAGCTGACTGGGATGGGGGCTTGGTGCAGGGACTTTTGGAGAGGAGGGCATTTTCTTGCTCTTACCATGGGGGCAACAGCTAGATGGGTGGCAGGACGGGGGGACCCACTCAAGGACATACTGCGGCTCCAGACTTCAACTAGCCCAGAACACTTACTCCATCTGAGGGTCTTGATATCAGGGTGTGGCGTCAGGCGCCGGAGCCTATGGGTTGAAAGCTAAGAGTGGGCAATCAAAGCTGAAACCAGGCCCACGACTTAGGAGCTGGAGAGCACACAGGGCTGAACACACGACCTGGGGACCAGGAAGCCAGGGAGCAAAGTCTTCAGGGCACTTGGGCAAGACCCCAGATGGTCTGCAGCAACGCACAGGCAACACGGGAGGATCAGCGCTACGTGGTGAGAAATGTACCTCCTTTCGTGGGACAACATTTTCCGGTCCTTCTGAGTAAATCAAAGAGAAATCTCAGCTTGGTGATTGCAGGTCTTTAATGCTTATTTCTCTGCCTCTGTCTGTCTCTCTTAACAAAAGTCTACCAGCAGCCTCAGGCTCAGGGCCTGTCTCAGGTAAAAGCCGGTTAGGGTGTAATAACAGTGATCAGTTTCATTGTGTTTTATTTTTGTAGCTACTTTCTAATTATAGCAAGTGATTCTGAGTTTCCATTTTGGATAGTCATAGGAAGTTTCTTTTTCAAGTAAATGTGCATAAGTAAAAGGAGACTGCTCAAAGGAAAACGGCTGGTGGTTGATAGAACAGGCTGTGGCATTGTTGGGTCCCAGAGGGAAGGGCTGTATAAGCATGCAGGAATTTCTGGGAAGCCAGCTAAATGCAGTTGCTGCATGGGGGCCAGGAAGCATTTGGAGGTGTGACTGGGCACAGCTTGGCTTTTGAGCCCAAGAGAGGCCCGCTGGGGACATGTTGGGAGCCAACCTACCCCTACCAGCAGGAACTGGTTTTGCTGCTCCAAAACAGAGTTCCAGCTACGGGGACAGCCACTAGGGAGCAGAGCTAAGGGCATGCCAGGCCGAGGGGCCACAGTCCACCCTGCACTGTGCCTCCCAGCCTGGAGGCAGGAAGCTCAGAGAGGCCAGTGGCCCTGCCCAGGACTCAGCACTGACCCTGCACCCCCAGGCCCAGCTGGGTGACCCCTAAAGGCTTCCTGGAATTTGAATGCAGGGTTATTTTGTGTGTGCTGCCTCTCAGAGCATGTCACTTTGACGTGGACATCTCGGGTCTGGTCCTGGTGCTGTCCCTGTCTCACCATGTGACCCTGGGCGGGTCACCTCTCCAGTCCTTGATTTTCCCATCTGTAAACAGAGATGAGTAAAATGACCTTTAAGGGCATGTCAGTCCATTTTGCATTGCTATAAAGGAATACCTGAGGCTGAGTAGCTTATAAAGAAAAGAGGGTTATTTGGCTCACGATTGTGCAGGTTGTACAAGAAGCATGGCACCGACATTGCTTCTGGTGAAGCTTCAGGAAGCTTCCACTTATGGTGGAAGGGGAAGGGGGAGCTCATGACTTACATGGCAAGAAAGGGAGCAAGAGCGATGTCAGGCTCTTCTAAACAACCAGCTCTCACATAAACTAACAGAGCAAGAACTCACTCATTACCACGGGGAGGGCACCAAGCCATCCATGAGGGACCTGCCGCCATGACCCAAACATCTCCCACCAGGTCACACCTTCAACACTGGGAGTCACATTCAGCATGAGATTTGGAGGTGACAACCACACATCCAAACCATATCAAGGACCCATTTCAGTGAGGGGACCAGGGACATACGCCTTCCCCTCTCCTCCACATCCTTTAATATGGGACTCAGCAAGGAAAATAGGGCTTGGGTCAAATTAAAACCTGGGCTTAATTTCATGCTCCAGCTATTAGCTGTGTAACCCTGGGCAAGTCACTTAACCCCCCCCAGATTACAATGTTACAAATGATCCCATTTTCCTCAACTGAGACATGGGATAGGAACATGTCCCGAGCAGAGCTGGACTGACGGTGCTATCAATGGCCCGACAGTGCCTGGTCACACAGTAGGCCTGGGGAGCCCTGACTTTTACCACACAGGGAGCTGTGTGCAGAGCTTGTTTTCAGCTGTGGGCTTGGCATGGACCTGTCGGCATCCCAGGGGACAGGGTCTCATGAGGATGCCTAATCCCAGCTCAAAGAGGAGACCCCAGGACTCCATCACAGCCAGTGGTGGGGAGTGGCTGCTGGAGAAGGGCTTCATTGGAATGAACACCTTTAAGCTCCAGGCCAAATGCCCAGAGTGGGTTTGCAGGTATGATTGTGAGGCTGGCATGGTGGGCCCATCTGCAGTCCCCTGGGATGGGACACCTGTACGGTAGAGGGCCCGGGTGGAGAGAAGACAAGGATGTGGATGAACCCAGGACCATAGACGGCCCAGTTCCGTGGATGATTTTCATCGAGGTGCCTTCAAGTCAGTTCACCATTGGGCTTCTCAGCCTTTGAGATACGCAGGTAAGAGCCACCTGTGGCAGTAGGGGAAGCGCTTGTTAAAGTGCAGATTCAGCAGGTCTAGGGTTGGGCCTGAAATTCTGTGTTCCTAACAAGGCTCCCTCCTGGGTATGGAGGTCAGGTACTCCTCACCTCTCCTGTGTACCCCGCTTTTTGGGGGGTCAGGAGAAGAAGGTTCAGTCCCAGCTGCCACCACTCTAAAGTCTCCTAGAAACAAGGACTAATACAGGTGGCGTGGGAGAGGACCCAGGCAAACGGGAGGTGGGGTGCCCTGGTGGGGCAGCAGTGGGCCCTGCAGAAAGCTTGCTGGAGGAGGGGCCTGAGGAATTCAAGGACTTGTTCCAGGAACCCAAGGAATGAGTGGGCTCTAATTGCTGCGCATATGGGAGATTCCAGGAGGAGCTGACTGTGGCGGGCCATCCCAGGCCATCAGACAACTTGTAGTGGATGAAGATGCAATGTCCATGGCCAGAAGAAACTCCCATGGACCCTCAGGCCAAGGCTGCCAGAAGCACGAGGAAGGGGCAGCATTGAGTGTCATCAGGAAGAGGCAAGGTGATGGTCCTGAAGCTGCCCCGTGTGGCCAGTCCCTTTTTGGGAAGCCTGAATAAATCCATTTCCTGTGCACTGTGTGGGAAGCCAACCCCTCTTCAGAGGTACTGATGGGGAGCCCCCCATGTGATTTTATAGGCTCCTTTACTCCCACATAGGTATTTTCTCTCTCTGTGCACAGCACACACACACACCCCACACACACATATCATCTATCTGTGATTTTGAGATGCACTTTTTTTTTTCACGTTTCAGCACCTCTGAACTCAATGGGATCCTACACTCCTTTTAGGCCTGGCTTGATGCTGACATCCTTCAGTCCCAGGGAAGACCTGAAGATCTCCAGGTCTTGAGGCCCCTGGAACACCTCCATCTGAGACCACTTCAACATGATTTCTGTGCTTGAGGGATTTTGGACCACGCTGTGTGTATTCAGCCCTAAAACATGGGTGAGTGCCAGCTTGCAGTTCAAACTCTTAGAGGAAGTTCCCTGTACTCCACCCAGTGCCAAGTTTGATTTGTGTGAATTTTCTTAATGTGCCCTCCTGTACAACAGGTTTATTTGGTATTAATCCTTATATCAGGGGTCTAACTCTTTGGTTTTCCAGGTTTTTTTTTTTTTTTGCTGGAATACCCCATTAAACTGTCCATGTTGGGTATTTTTTCTTTCTTAGTAAACATTTGGTGCATCTTAGAGTTGATAGCATTTTAGATTTGAAGAAATAACTGACAAAATCAATATAATCTGTTCTGTCATTACAAATAGACTCATAGTTCTTTAATTTTTCCATTTAACACTTTAATTTTCCATAGGCCTAGATTTTCAAGAAGTCCAATATCTCTCACTTGAAGTGTCTTTTCCCTAGAGTAGATGGGGAGATTTGAGGGATATCTGTCCAAACACGAGAAAGTCTGTTTCTAGTCTCCCATCAAGCCTGATGGGGCGTCTACAGTTGTTACCACAAGGTGTCGCTGTTGAACAGATTCTGGTGCAGTCTGGTGTATACTTGTCCAACTCTAGAGTGATCACTTGCTGGGCCAAGTCCCTCCCCTTAAGTGGTGCCGCACATTAAGGTTCCCAAATTACAGACTCTTTAATGCACCCTAATGAGCTCATCCAGGCAGTTTAGGTCTTCAGGGGCTTCCAGCCTCCAACACACATTGGGCCAAAACCAGCCTGTACCACCAGCTCCAAGCCCTGTGTTGAATCTAGGTCATTGGTCCAGATGCCCCTTCATTCTGGGCCTGTGGTGTCCTTTCCAGACAGCAGACCTCAGTCATGGGTATCCCAGTCCATCAGAGAGGTTCCAGGATCACAGACCCTCAAAAGGGGCAGTGTTGAGGATTCAGTCTCTTCTACACAGAAGCCCCATTAAGTATGTTCTATCAACTCCTCCCAGGGCTGTTTCTACATAACCCAGGGAAGCCATTCAGGGAACAGCTGCCTTATGAATGAAGATCCACCCCTAGACAATGTGCTATGCCATCCCAGCCAGAAAAATTGTTGGCAACTTCCCTTGCCAAAAATGCCTTGTATCACAGAATCTTATGCCATTATTGCTTTCTGGCCCAGGGTCCTCCCACGCTTCAAAAGGATGGCATACAACTCCCACTGTGTGTGTGTGTGTGTGTGTGTGTGTGTGTGTGTATAGAGGCTGTTCTTGAGGGCAGCAGGTGAGATTTGTTTTGCTTCATCAGGTCTACATGGTAAGGGGGAAGGGCTAGAATACTAGGATAGTATTAGGATAATGGATGGGAATATTTTAAAGCAATTCCGAGGTGGAAGGAACAGAGAGAAAAGCCTTGGAGCAGCTGGAGAGAACTGTCTTCAAGGAAATGGACTAAACTTTGTCTAGAATGTGCGAGGTAAACTTCTCCTCCAGCTTCCCACCAAGACACTGGTGGGGTGGACACTGGTCTGGATGTTTTTGGCAGTTGGGTTTGTGTTTTGGAGATGAAGTGGCCCTGGCATCAAGGGGACGTGGCACACAAGCAGAGGCTTCCAAGGGGTCCCAGGAGCACCTCTGTCTGATACAGATGGGGAAATTGAGGACCAGAGGACAGGCTTGTTCAAAGTCACCCAGCGAGTTAGAGCCCCCAGTGGCTTTTCCCATTAACAATGAACCCCAGGCCAGGGGTGGTGGCTCACACTTGTAACCCCAGTGTTTTGGGAAACTGAGGCAGGAAGATCATTTAAGGTCAGAAGTTTGAGAGCAGCCTGGGCAACAGAGAGAGACCCTGTCTCTACAAAAAAAAAAAAAAAAAAAAAAAATTAAAAATTAGCCTGGTGTGGTGGCGTGCACCTGTTTCCCAGCTACTTGGGAGGCTGAGGTGGGAGGATTGCTTGTGCCCAGGAGTTTGAGGCTGCAGTGAGACATAATTGAGCCACTGTACTTCAGCCTGGGTGACAGAGCAAGACTGTCTCAAATAACAAAAAAGAAAAAGAAAAAGGAAAAAAGAAGAAGAAGAACCCCAAACAGCCCACCATGAGCCATGGTGATCCCAAATCTCCAGCGTCCCTGCGGGTTCTTAGGCCGGCTCAGTGCAGGTATTCTCGCACGGTGAGCTCCTTCAGGGTGATGCCGCGGGGCGTGGGCCTCCGGAGCTGGCTCTCCTCCAGCCTCTCCTGCAGAGACACGAAGTCCTTGCCCAGCGTGTAGGCCAGGCGGACCATGGCGTCCAGCAGAGGCGCGTAGTAGCGATGGCCCTCCCTGGCCTGCAGGCGCTGCAGGGCCCTCTCTCCTGCCGCGAAGGCCTCGGCCGGGCGGTCGAGGTCGCGGTGGCACAGCAGCACGGCGCACAGGGCCGGGACGGCGGCCGCGGGGCAGTGGGCGGTGAGCTTCTCCTGCAGCGGCAGCACGCGCAGTAGCAGCTCCAGGGCGCGCGGGTACTGGCCGGCCCGCAGGCAACCGAACGCCTCGCGCAGCTCCTGCCGCGTGAGGAAGTCCAGGAACTCCCGGGAGCGGCGCACGCAGCGGATGGCGTAGAGCAGGCCCAGGTACTCCTGCAGGGCGCGCCGACGCTCGCAGATCATCTCCTCCGCGAAGTTTCCCGTCAGGTGCTTCCTGGGGAACTCCACGTCTTCGATCTCCTCCCTGAACGTCTTCAGCAGCGCTTTCTGGAGCTTTGCGAAGTCGGAATAGCGCCGTTCCAAGACGGCCTTGTTGTTGTCAAAGCTCCCAGTCTGGATGACGATGATTTGGTACACCTAGGGCGCAACCAGAGAGAGCCGTGGCCACCTCCTGGCGGGGGCTGCGCTGGACCCAGCCCCCCAAGAGTAAAGTTAACCAGGCCGGTGTAAAGCATGCCCTGAAAACGGACGATCCTTATATGCAATTCTGTTTATTAATTAACTAATTAATTAAATTTTAGAGACAGGGTCTCACACTGTTACCCAGGCTGGAGTACAGTGATGCGATCATACCTCACTGCAACCTTGAGCTTCTGGGCTCAAGTGACCCGCCCACCTCAGCCTCCTGAGTAGCTGGGACTATAGGCACACCCACTACCCGGCTGATTTTTTTTTATTTTTTAGAGATGGGGTCTGGCTGTGTTGCCCAGGCTGGTCTTGAACTCCTGGGCTCAAGCGATCCTCCTACCTGGGCTTCCCAAAGTGCTGGGATTACAGGCCTGAGCCACTGTGTTTTAAATTACTATTGACATCAGCTTAGTCAACCTTGGAACAACAACACAGCAAGGTGGGGACATCTGGGAGGAAAAAGGGCAGAGGGTCCTGCCCTGCAGGCTGCTGGGGTCCCTCTTGGCTTTACTTGCTAAAACTGGGCCTCCTTTTTCTGAACTGAGATGCTGTGTTTTCCAAATGTTTCACATTTGGGAGTTAGTTTTAGGTACAATATAACATCATTTAGGTACACTGGTGATGCCGTTATATGGTAAGAAAATCATCCCTTTTCAATTCTCTTTCAAGAGAATCCTGATTACAGGCAATTATCTATTAAGGGCAATTATAACCCATGCATCTGACTCCAGAACCAGATTGCATGGGTTATAATTACAGTCCCACCATGGTCTAGCTGTGTTGTTTTAGATGAGTAATTTAACCTCTCCGAGTCTCACTTTTCTCATTCATAAAACAAGGAGAGGCATAGTGCCTACCTCACCCGGTGAGGATTAAATGAGTTAATGCACTGAAACCACATGGAGCTGTGCCCAGCACGCCATTGGCATTCAGTGGCAGCTTCGTTATTTATCCTGGTCCCAGGTAAGTGAAGGAGAAGGATGAAGTGTGGCTCTTAGGCAGTCTTTAACATCTCCTTAACACAAGCTAAAATTCCAGTCTAACAGGGAGAGCAGCCCCCAGGCGCAGGGCTTTCCTGAAGCCACAGTACCCAGTTAGAATTTAATAACAGTGCATAGCTTTCCTTGTATTGATTTTCCTTGTTTCGACTTTTCTAGTATGTTACTTTGTCTTTGTGCCATGTGATATTGGTTTTCCATTTAAGGTATTTCTCTTTGAAATAAATGTACTTTGTGTTTTTAAAAAGTGATCCAATTTAAAGAAAAAATAAGTAGTAATAATTATAATGGATACAGGGATATGGCAAAATTGGTGAAGAAAGGACACAGGTGACCGACACCCGGTAAGATGGGATTAAACTGGGCCATTTCCTTCTTGGGACCAAGAAGCATGACTTCCATGGTTCGAATCCTCACAGAACCTAGCAGGTGCTGAGCCTGAAGTGTGCTGACCCATTTCACAGTTGGGAAACCTGAGGCCCCACAAGACTTATTCAGGGCCGGGAAGGAAGCAGAGTGAAAGAGGCTCCACCATTTCCCGAGCTCTGCTTACCACAAACTTAGAGACTCTTCTCTCCTCGATGCGAGCTGAGGCGATCTCAAAGAGCAGTTTGACGTGCTTCCAGCGGCATTTCTCGTTCTGCCAGTACTGCTGAAGCTCCCGTGTGGTCATGCTGGAGTTGGAGCTCAGGCCACTATGCATGTCTGGAAGGACAACACCCTTAAGGATCTGCACCCTCTCAGTGCACTTTCGAGGCATGGCTTGGGGAGATGGCTGGGTCTATCTGAGATGGGATATCAGAACTCCTAAAGAGTACTGAATATCCCTTTCTCCCACTCCGCCACTGATAGGCCCAATGGGGGCATCAGACAGACCTCTGTGCCCAGCCTGGCAGAATCCACACTACCACTGACAATCTCAAATAGCCCATCACCCCCAAGTGGTTTCTTAGCTGTGGAATGTGGTGTGGGCATGTTGCATCGTCCGCTTCTGGTCTGCAGATTGGCCATGGTGAAATCCCTCCTCTGGACAAGCAGACTGACTTGTGTGACTCTGTGCTCCCTGCAGCCCTGACTTTGTGACTGTCGCCAGGACTCCTTGAGCACACATCAGTGGGCAGGGGAGGCAGCGATGAGGATGTTATGTTCCAGCATCAGCGGGCTGGCCCTTCCTAACCTTCTCATCTAACTGCTCACATGCCAGGCTCTTCTCGGACGTGCACTCCTCTGCCTGGCATCCAACCCTCTATTTCCATTAAGTGTTTCTTAAACCCCACTTGAGCCCTGCGCCCCTCTGAGCTTCTTGAGAAGCGCAAATAATTGTGCATTTTATCGCAAAGGGCATGGTTCCCAGCTCTTTTCCAGTCTACCCTTCAAGACCAAGCCCCCACATCACTGCACATGCCCCTTGGCATTAGAGTAAGAGCCTCCCACCTTGTTCCTATAGTTTTTTATTTTATTTATGTGTTTTTCATGGCACATCTATTTTTCACTGATCTGTTTCTCTACCAAACCTCAGGACTAGTGCAGTGTTTGATTTGTTCCTGTTTCTGTTTCCCCAGTGCCCTGCATAGTGCCGGGAACAGAGCAGGTATTGAGTAGGGGCATCTTGAAGGATTGTAAGAAAAGATTTGTTCCAGATGGCACTACAGCAGATGCTTTCCATGCCCCAGGCTGGACCATGCCCTCTTGGCACCCACTTTTCCAGAACATGCCACTGGCTTCCCTGAGGGCTTTCTAGGGCCATAGCAGCAGGCCCAGGAGCGTCCCTTCTCCTCTGCAGGGCAGGACTGGTAGATAACAGCCCGGCTTCCTCACCCCTAGGATAGCACAACCCAGAGATATATTCCAAGGTCTCCCAGAAGACCCCCGCTAGGGTTGAGCCTCAGCCACCTACCGTGCCTATCTGTTCACTGATGTCCTGCCCTGGCCTCTTGCCCTTTCCTTCCATTCCCACTCCCCTGCTGTGACTCCTAGGACCGTCTCCTGGATAAACAGCTTGCATCAAATCTGTGTCTCAGTGTCTGCTTTGGGATAACCCAAGTTATAAGAGCTGCCCGGGCCTCTTGCTATATCCGCCAAAGTGACCCACATTTGTATTTTGAATGTCTTCAGACCTCTCCCCCAGACCAAGTCTTAAGCCTCAAGCCCACCTAAATGCCTGTCAGGTCCTGGGCGCGGGAGGTCAGGGCCAGCGGTTGGTGCTTCCTGCTGGGTCCTTGCTGTGCATTGTGTTGTGGGTCCCTTCCAGCCAGGGCTCCCAGGGTGCTCTGGACTTGCCATGCTCCAAGCCTGCCAGAGGAACAAGAGAACAGTGAGTACCCACTCCAGTTGGGGTTCCCGGTGGCTCCTGGGGTGCCTAGGAGCTGTGTCATGCCCCCTCCTGGCAGGCAGAGGAAATGACAATGGCCCCACGGCTCAATCTTCCCAACTCTCCCAGCTGCCAGATCCCAGACCTGGGTCTGCCCCTTTGCTGGGCAGGTTACTCCAAGGTAGAGAAGACCCTTCACCTATTGTGACGATCCACATGTTATTGAAGTGGTCCTTACGTATTGCTCAGAGTTTTAAATGAGATGATTTCAAGAAAAAGTATTGGCTTTTAGTGATTACTTGAGTGAAAGATGCTGGCTTGTACAGATACTCAGTTTTATGTTACACATGCGAATGAAGTCTCAGTGTTCAAGCTGAACACAGTGGCTCATGCCTGTAATCCCAGCACTTTGGGAGGCTGAGTTAGGAGGATCACTTGAGCCCAGGAATTTGAGACCAGCCTGGGCAATGTAGTGAGACCCCATCTCTAGAAAAAATTAAAAAAAATTATCCAGGATCCACGCCTGTGGCCCCAGCTACTTGGGAGGCTGAGACAGGAGGATCCCTTAAACCCAAGAGACTGAGGCTGCAGTGAGCTATGATGACAGAACAAGACCATCTCAAAAAGAAAAAAAGAAAGCTCAGTGTTCAGAGCAGGTAGATACTGGTATGAATCTTCTATCGATCAATCAATCAATTATCTATCTATCTATCAGCAAAATTAACTGATAGCTTATACCCACTTCATACCCACCTAGGTTCTTCACAGCCCCTAATCTAGTTTAATGCTCACAAAAGTCTATCATTACCACCACATAACAGATGAGAAGACTGAGGTCTAGCCCAAAGTCACACAACTGGTGAGTGTGCACAACAAGCAAAGCTGAGTTTGTCTCCAGTGCTTGTGACGTGCTGGCGGTGCGCTTGACACCCAACACACACTCTCACACTAACCTGACCACTGTCTGCACTCAGGACTGTTTGCAGCTCCCTTTTATGATAAGGGAACTGAGACTTAGCGTTGCCGAAGGTAAAGAGCTGGCGAGTGGTGGGCAGGATACAGACCCAGGCTGGGCTGACTTCAGAATTCTCTCCACGTTACTCAGGGAGGGAGAACAGGCAACTGGGATCCGGTTTACATAATAACTCTGTCTGTGACCTGGATAAGTGGATGGGATGACCTGGTAGCTGGCAAGTGACTCAACTTCTCTGTGCTTCTGTTTCCTATAAATTGGGGATAATAACAGAACCCACGTTCGCAAGGCTAGGGTGAGGATTCAGTCAGGCAGACTCTGAAGCCTCAGCTCAGGGCCCTGTCCATTCCGGAGACTGTGTAGTACCCTCACTCTTAGTGTCTGGTAAGTGCTAGATGTTTCCAGAAATATTTGCGAATTAAATGACTAAATTAAGGTGGATTGGAATAGAATTACAAATGTTTGAGACAACTTAGAAAAAGGGACAATTAAAACATTAGCTAGGCTGGAGCGAGGAGCTGGTATACCTGTTAGGCATGGAAATTCAAGACAAGGAAGGTGCAAGTGACCTCACCTTTTTCTACTAGGACCTGAGGAAGCTGCCAGTGGAACACAGAGGTAGAGCTGGGACTTGAACTCTGGTCTGTTGGATTCTGTGCCCTTGGTCTGAACCCCTGGGCTGACTACGGCCTAGAGAAAGATAGAGCCAATGCCTCCCTGGCACCCCCTGAGCACAGACGGGGGCGGAGGTCATGCATGTCCCTGAGCACAGCCAGCGCCTGTCCCTTGCTCCAGGGGTGAGAGCTCCTGGCCTGGGAGAGGGAAGGTCAGCTGGGGCCCAGAGTCTGCACTTCATGGGGAAGTGCTTGCTGTGTCGGGTGAAAGGAACCCTGGGGCCTTCTCCATGTGGCTCTGCATAGCCGTCCAGTGGGAGGCCCTTAGGGACCCTTGATCCAACCTCACCTTTTACAGATGGGCAAACAGACACACGGAACAGGGACCTGGCTGGCCCAGGGCTGCACATTCTTGAGCATGCCATCACGGGCACCTCTCGCTTGCCTCTTGTCCCTGTCAGGGAGTCAGGAGACATTGCCTTCCATCCTGACCAACTGTGTGTCCTTAAGCAAGTGCTTTAATATCTCTAGGCTTCTGTTTCCCCACCTGAAAAGTGTGGCTACAAGCCCCATCCTGTTGATAAGATGATGGATGACTAGGGATGGGTTTCCTACATTCTGGTACGTGCCTAAGTGAGACAGCGGGTGGTCTATGTGATTCTTGGTGGCTGGGATTCTTGGGGGCCCAGGGCACTCCTGTGCTCAGCACTTCTGTAAAGTGAGTGATGGTGACTGGCCTTGGCCTCAGGGGCCCCAACCTTTGCAGACCTGCTTGCATGACCAGGCAGCTTACTCCAGATCAGAAACAGGACATTATTGGCCCAGAGACCCTGTAAGACCCTAGAAATGATGCCTCAGCTTGACACTCCAGTAAAGACTGAGAAAGCTGATTATGAAACCAGTCCTTAGAATAAAAATCAAATTCAGCAGCCACAGTCAGCTCCCTTATAGTTGTCTCTTACAGGTTTCATTGGGAGTCACCCATTTAAAGAGGAAGGGGAAGGAAAGAGTTGTGCACTGGTGTATCCGTGGGGTCTTGGGTAGCTTCCTATCCCTCTCCAGGCCTCAGTGTCCTCATCTGTGAAATGGGAAAGCAATCCCGTCGCTCTAAAAGCTCTCTGGGGACAGCCACATAGATGGTTCCATGACCCTTTCCTCCCCTCTCCTCACTCTCTGTAGCAAAGATTTCTTGACTTTATAACAAAATACTATAAATGTTGGTGCTGTTGGCCTGGAGGCCTGTAGTTGGCCCAGGGAACAGAGCAGCTTCCCAGTCCCCTCTACCTTCCCGCCCTGTGTGCATAGACAGTCATTCTCCTCCTCCTGTCCCCAGGTGTCCTGACCACCCCCCTCTCCAAAAGCTGACTGCCAAGTCCAGTCCTTCTTCTGCTGGGCACACAGAGGCCACACCATCTTTCTGAAGACCTGCAGAGGACTTTTCTTGGGGGACGAGCCTCTAGGGGGTGAAATAAAGCTCCTGGCCCACTCTGGGAGACAGGAGATCCCCGGACATTGGATGTGTGGCTTCCTCTGTTGGGGAAAGGGTGGGTACCCTCCAACAACTGGATGCTCACCTGAGAAGCCTTGCCAAAGCCAGGGGCTCCCAACCCAGTGTGCGTAAGAATCCCCTGGTGGGGTGGGGGTGGGATCCCAGGGACTTGG